CACACACACACACACAGATAGACATTAAATGTTACTATTTCTATTGTTCAATTGTACCAGCAGTTGCATTCGCATTTTAATGTGTTTTGGCTCTAGACGCAAAGTCACTTAGAAATAAATTTCTCACTCCGGATTTTCTCTTTGTGAGCGAAAAACACAATTTCATGCTTCTTATTCAGACGGCGGAGAGAAAGGCTTATGTTTTTGAAAAAAGCTGAGAGACTTCTCTTAGCGAGGGGCGTTCGAGGGTCAAAGACTAGGATAGAAAAGGCAATGCAGGACTGCCTGGATTTACAGCCTTGCTTTCATCCTCCTTTCCACCCCTCTCTATATTCTTCTCCTTCTTTCTCTTATTTATTTCCCACTGTCACTGTGTGAAAAGACTTAAAGCCAAGTTTTAGGGTGATATATGACAGAGTGCTGGTCCAGTATGCTAATTTTGGTGGTGACCCTGATGAGGGGCAGAAAACTAAACTGCAAATCTAACTGAGCTTGCAAAGTGTTTAAAGATACAGCATGGTCAGTACTATAGTATACATGAATACTGATCCAGCAGTCACAGAAATGAAACACTTTTTTGGGTACGACATGTACTACAAACAAGTATGTCCAACATATCCATCGGCTTTCTTTATTATCCTATTATTCAGGTAGCTGATTCGCAAAACTTTCTTGTGATGCACAACGTATACAATTTAATACTATGACTTAATTAAATGAGGAAGTTGATGAAGAGGTAATCTGTGTGTAATTTTGCCAATCAAATCTATTAAATACAATGTTTCCCTAGAAGAAAAAACAGTAAATAACAGTCAACCTAACACTTACACAAACACAATATAAAAAACTTCAATACATAGTCCATTGCTTACTTTCTGGTTCAGTCTCTGGTTTTCGTGACTGACTTTGGCCAGTTTTGCCACAGAGTCCTGACCAGCTGCCCTTATTTTCCTTCTAAAGTCCCCACGTCTTCAGCAGGCGTCTGGGTTGTTCTTTCTCCACTGGCAACAGGCGGATCAGGGAAGGGTCGAGCCTTCATTCACTTCTTCTCCCAAGACTTTCTGCGGAGGGCTGAGTCAATGATGGCCAAGACATTTTTGTTTTAAGGTCAATGTTTTAACAAAATATTATAACCAAGACTAACTCAAAATTCGTTTACATTTTTGAGTATTCCCAAGGGTCAAAAACCAGAGACAACTAATAAAAAATAGACGCACAAGAATAGACTTCATATTTAAAAATGTGTACCCATCATAGAATAAATGCATACAAAGCCCTAGGGTTCAACTTTGGCAGGTCTTAAAGCTTTTAAAGTGCCATTTTAACAAACACCCAAGCACAAAGTCTTTATCCAGATCCCTGGCTAGTTAAACCTCTTAACAGCTTTTATAATCCAAACACACAGATTATCCTCCAAGAGCCACTGAATATTAATTACAGGTCTTAATCAAGTGGAAAGAAAGCCCAGCGGAGGCTGGCAAATGCAAAAGAGTCACGGGGATGAGATCAGGGGCAAGAGCCAATGACCAAAACATGCTCTGTTGGCTGTTGTTCTGAAGCCTGGTCAATTTGGTCTATTTCAACTCAACACGTTGCCTCCTCAACACTCCTCTTTCTGTTTTTGTTTTTTTCCCCAACTTATTCTAGCTGCCAGTCAACAAACAGAAACATGTTCTTGTTCTCTGGTTTTCTTACCTTCAGTCAGTTCTGGTGTCTTGGATAGTTGCTCCAGTTCCCAGCCCAGGTGCAGGGACTCGTCCATGCTCTGTTTCTGGGCCATCTCAAGCACAAGGTTCTCCTCCAACAGCTCCTCCATGCGCTTACGGTCCATGTCCCGCTCCTGGAGATAACCGAGAGATAGATGGTGTGTTGAGATAAACAGATCCTGCATGACTGAACACTACTACCACTACTACTACTACCACTCACTTAATTCTTTTTATTAGAAGCTTCTACCACTACCATACGCACT